AAAATTCTTTAATAGAATTTTCCCCGGCTGGGTACGACTTCTTCGGTTTGAATTCGGCTTCCATTTATCCTGAGGTATCAAGCACGGCCTTCACTTACCCGTGAGTACCACACATGACTCCGCCAGTGCTTCGGTGGAGGAAATTATTGCTTCGACCCAGGAAATTATTATTCAGCCTCCTTCCACCCGTGTACTCAGGTTTCATGTACGGCCCCAGGGAGGTTTTGGCGAGGAAAATTGTTATCTCGAAAACCACAAAAGCGAGGAGGCCGGAATTTTATGAAAATTTTGGCAGGTAAAAATCTTCATCTTGGGAACCACAAAATCCACGAAGCTGAAATTTAAGGGTAATGGCCCCTTGTCCGCGTGCGACCATGAAAATTCAAATTCAGTGCTCCCGCACTCTCGGGTATCGCTTACGACCCCATGAAAATTTTGACGGGTAAATTATTGCTTCGGGGACCACAAGAGGGCTGAAACTTTAGGGCATTGACCCCTTGCCCATGTACGACCTTGCAGATTCAAATGCAGCGTTCTCGCGCTGTCGGGTACCAGCTACGGCCCCGTGAAAATTTTTGCATGGAATTTATTGTCTCAGGAACCATGAAAGCCAAAAAACTGCAGTTTTGCGGTAGTGCCGGTGCATGAGATTTTATGTGTCGATGCGTGAAATTTTTAACTTTTTTTCAACGTCTCAACTATTTTTGCGCAGACTAAAGTACAAAGCAGTGAAAATCGTTAACAGGCAATTGTTCGGTGAACGAAATGCACAAAACGCATGATCGCACCGGCTAGTCTGGTGCGCGTGGCTATTTATTTACTGCTGTTACACAGCACAGAATGCATAAAAACTGTTCGCTATTTCGATTCAGAGACGGAAATAGCCATTATATTTGCGGACACTACACGTCCGCAAACGCCTTCTTAAAACAAGCTTATTATCAATTTTTCATTGGTGTTCCTTGAACTGGATCAAAACCTCTCTCCTTGTTTTTTTTCGATGAGACGCGGAAATACTCGGGGGTAGGATGGGTCCAAAAGCAACCTCCCTGTTGCAGGGCTGTTGATGGGTCGCTCATTCGATGGTTGTTTAAATGTATGCTGGTGGCGAGTTTGACTTCCTGGTATGCGCAACTGCCAGTTTTTTGTCGAAACGAATGAACAAATCGCACAGGGATTGGACAGCCCAGTGGCGGAATCGGACGTTCGAGCTGATTTCACCGCTGCGGCGCTACTTCCCATTGCGCTTCGGTACTGAGCCTGATAGGCATTGTTCCTTCAGATGATTGATTAGTCGAGTTGAGCACTTTTTCAGTAGCAAACGAGAATCGACGCTTCACGGACATTGTGTGCGGAGCGGCAGCCGGATGCACAGCAATGACCTTTGCAATGCCTTTTGATGTGATAAGGACGAGATTGGTGGTGCAAGATCAGCGAAAAGTAGCCTTTTGTCAGTTCTTTTATCAGATTCTGATGTTGCCATATATCGCGTTATGCATGTTGCCAACATGACAGGTGTATCGTGGAACGCTACACGCTGCGTCTTTGATATGGAAATCTGACGGATTTCGTGGATTTTTTCGAGGAATCATTCCATCGTTATTTCAGATTGCACCTTACATAGGTTCGTTTTCCTGCCGTTGCATTTCACAGCGATATCAATGCGCAGCTGTTTCGTTTGTTTTGATGAGGGCAGAACATAGCCGTTTTCTTAGCTAATTCTTGCAGGCCTACAGTTTTCTCTCTACAATGCATTCGGCGCTGCGTGGCAGACACTTCCAAAATGCTTTGGTGAGTTTGTGTTAATTGTTATGGTCGCTGGTGAACTGGCGTGCACTTAAGGATGGAGCCGATGCAGCTTGCCTCCAGCTTCTTGCATGCACTACTCGCATTTTGTCATTTTGATCACTGTCACTTCAGCGAAGCTGCCCACATGCATGGCGACACGACTGTGCGAAGATTAGCCCTTCCGGCAGTTTTTTTCGCGCATTCTATGGGGTTTGAAAGAGTTGTGGCTGATGTTACATTCGTGGCAGAACTTGCGGCGCATAGTTATTACTTTCAATTCCACGCCTTCTAGCTGTGCGCTGGCCGTTGCTCACGGAGACATCAGCTTTGCCCGTATTGTCAAGCTTCCTTCTTTATTTACGCTGTTCTGGCAGCTTGTCCGCTGCACCGATGAGATGCCTGTGTTGAGGAAGCGTGAATGATGCTGGGTTCGTGCCTCCACAGTTTGGGGACCACATAGCAGGGCAGATAGGAAGAAGTTAGGAGCATTTGGCGCATTAAATTGGTGTGCGGTTCATGCGCCGAACAATAAGAAATGCCTGCGATAGTCCCTGGTTCGTTTCCGGATTGCTTTCCCTTCACCGAGGTTGTAGTTTTTGTCCGTTTTGTGGACAGTGAAGTTAATATAACTGTACGAATAAATAATTTCAGAGCCGTTTGGGCCGTTATGTTGCGGTGCCCTAGCCGGGGTCTCGTCCAAAACAGCGATTTATCCTCTGGATGTTGTACGGCATCGATTACAGGTTCACATCTATTCCTCGTCACTTTTCACTTTTGCTCTCGACCCTTAAAATCAAAAAGTCGAATGAAAGAGCTTGTGGTTTTGTTTCGTTGAGAAATTTGGAAATTTAGCGATTCGCACGAAACTGAGTTGGTGTTTTTTGCGCCGTCTGTAAGTCAGTGTGGTTAGACTTCAAGGCGGCATGGGAGTGATTGGCTGTGGCCTTACATCCCCAAAAGACACATTTTACTGGTCTTGAGCTTTATCTAAG